CACCCACCCATCCACACACACACCAGGCGCGCGAGTCGGGTTCCTCCGTCACGGTGGCAATCACCCCCCCCGGAAGCCCCAAGCGCAACTCCGGATTTCGGGACCGGACCCCCGGACGGACCATCGTGCGACGCCAGCCAAGCGGCGGAGGGGGGGCGGCGGCGGCGGTCTGCCTGGCGCGGGCGACGTCGACCTCTCCTGTCCCCACCATCCGGCGGACCAACTCGGGCGCCGTCCTCGACCTGAGCCAGCTCTCGCCGACGGTGCTCCACGATTTCACGCTGCAGCAGCACTCTGCCGGCGGGGCGGAGGCGGCGGCGCGGGGGTGGCCCGGCCCATCCGGCCCGACGCAAAGCCCGCCTTCCGAGGCGCCGTCGTTCGCGTCGACGTTTCGTGCGCCGTCCTTCATCTGGGGCGCGCCCAAGGAAAAGCTGTCTCGCTCCGGCTCTCGCGGCTCTCTCCCCGGGCTCTCGGACGCGGGTGTCTTCACGTGTCCGGCACTGGCCCAGACCCCAGACACATGCACTGACACCTTCACTGGCACTGACACAGGGCCCAGACCTCAGACACACGCACTGACGGTCAACAACGGTCTCTGGCTCACACCGTCCGCGGCGGGCGGCGAGCGCGCGATGCCCTTGAGCCGCCCCCCCCGCGTCCTCACTGTCTCCTCCCCAGGCGAGGAAGCGCTCCCTCCCTCGGCGTCGCGCGCCGGCTCGCTGTCGACGGTCGACGGCATCCCGCCGTACGCACCGCCGAATGGGTGGCCGACATGGCCGGCGGCCTCGCCGCCCTCCTCCGTCGCCGGCGGCTCCTCTCTGCCCACGTCGGAGGACAGCGCGCGTAAGTCGGTGCTACGCGCCGTGTCGGAGGGCGACGAGCTGTGGCACAGCCGTCGCGGCCGGCAGCCGCCGATGCCGCAGGCGGTGCGGGCGGGGGGCGACGACGGCGAGGGCGGCGGCGGCAAGATGTCGCGTTTCGTGGGCGACTTCCTGGCGGCGGTGGGGTGGAGGGAGGAGAAGACGAAGCCGGTGGTTACGCCGGACGCGGCGCTGCGAGCGGCGCAGTGGCGCGCGAGAGTCGCCGACGGTGCGCCGCAAGCGAGCACCGATCTGGAGCACGGCGGGGGGCGCGGAGCGGAAGCCTCGCCGGCGTCGCCCTCGCGATCCGCGGCGTCAACAGCGTCGTCGTTCCCGACGCCTCCGCCGCCGCCGCCGCTTGAGCGGAAGGCGTCGTGGCTCGAGCAGAGGTTCAGTGAGACTGTTGACAGGTTCTTGGACCCGCTGTGAGCGTGCCACGGGGCCACCGTAGACCGCACACGACCCGCGCACAGTCATTTTAAGGAGAAAGGACCCTACTAGGGGGCCCACAGCGCCCCAAAATGCACCACTGTGGGACACAAGCGCCCCTACCCGGTAGGTGTGCGTAGAAAGTAGAACCAATCGAGAGGTGGCAGAAGCCGCCGTGTGTGACACATATTGCGGCACGTGAGAGTGAGACAGAGCCCCGGCAGCGGCCAGCGCGCGCGCGCAGCGGCCAGCGCAACAGGCGTTTCAAACAGCAAACGGGACGGCCTGCGCAGCCTCTAACTATTTTAGATTAGGACGACGCTGTGGGCCCCTAACCTACATGCAGAAATTTTCTTTGAGAAAAGAGAAATCCGGCTCCGCCGCCCAGCAACGCCGCACGAGGCAGCCTTTTTGTTTTTCGTGTTGTACGCGAATTCTAATTTTATCTAAAACTATACTAAAAATAGATAGGGGGGTGCCACACAGCGTAGTCTTTCATCTACAATCTGAGGACAGTTCGCGCTTTAATGAGGCCAAAAAGTGAGTTTATGCTTTATGGATGCGTGAGGCGTGTATAGCTCCGTACGCGGGACACGAGCAGGAGGCACGCGGACCGAGGCTCGTCGCTCGGCGACTCTGCTGCCTCTCACAACTGAGCTGCACGCCGTTTCAGATTTCACGGTCCTCATACTCTTCCTCCTACTTTACAAGCTGCTGCAATCAGAGCCGTGTCAGAGGCCCCGCCAGCATGGTCACACAACGTATATAGAGTAGTGCGGCGGCGACTGTCGGACAGTCCATATCCTGCAGAGCACCGTGCATGTGCATGCACATGTCAGCGGTACCGCGGAGGTGGGGCGGCTGGCGGGCTACCATCCTCCCCCTCTGTGCCGAGGTGATGGCCATCGAGCTGTACGCCATCTACCACCGGCACCGGCGCCGGTAGCTCCTCTGCCCGAACAGAGCCGTGGGAGCCCGGGCAGAGCTGTGGGGCCACCGGAGAGGAGCAGCTCGTAGGGGTCGGGCTTCCGGCGGGGGACGGCTGCCGCTGAGCGATGATCTGCTCGAGCGCGTTGCGCCGCGACCCAAACGCGGTGTGCGCCCGGTTCTGCGAGGAGAGCGGGTTGGTGGACATGGACAGTCGCTCGTTTCGCCGCGAGCGCCGCACCTGAGAGGGAGGGTGTAGAGGATGTAGAGGTGTAGCGGATGTAGAGGTGTAGAGCGCTGTAGAGCGCTGTAGAGCTGTAGAGCTCTACACCCTCTACTACACCCTCCCTCAGCGCCGCACCTCCCTCGGCCGGAAGATGTCGACAGAGGCGTGCGCCGTCGAGGCGCCGGCGATGGAGACGAAGAGGGTGACGCTGTTGCCCGGCTGCTTCCCTCCACTGGCCGGCCTGGTGCCGCAAAGGCTTGGGAGGTGAGGGCGTGCGGAGGAATGTGCGCGTGCATGCGCATCGCGGGAGCTCACGGACGGGCTGGCACAGGCGGAGCCAGTGAGGGCGTGGTAATCTCGGGGGTGATCTCGGGGGTGCTCCGCATCTGGGGTGATCTCGTGTGATCTCGTGCGATCTCGCGTGATCTCGCGGGTGCGTGTCTCCGCATCTAGGAGTCCCTTGCCCCGCCGCGAGCCGCTTCGCGCGCTCTTGCCCCCACGAGAGCAGGCACACGCCAACCACCACCATGACAAACGCGCAGACGAAGAGGTACGCGCGCGACAGGCAGGCGAACTCGTCGAAGAGCAGGCCGCCGAGCACGATGTTGGTCGAGATGATCATCACCGTGTAGAGCGGGACCGTGAACGAAGCCTTCCCCGAGCCGAGCGCCCAGTTGAGCAGCCACAGCTGCGTTGGAGCGGAAGCGACCAGCACGCCGAGCGCGAGCCAGGTGACCTGCAGGTGGGTGAATACGCCGACTTGAGGGCGCGAAAACGGTATTCTGCCGCGCAGAGCACCGCGTGAACAGCTGATAGGAAGACAGTGAATACAGCTGAATGTGGGTGAAGACAGCGGAGCCCGTGTCTCTCGAGTGCTGATTGGGAGACATGAATAAGTGTTTCAGCGTCTAGCGTGGTGACCCAGAGCTCGGCGGCCTTCGGAGGATCCTCGACGGCGGTCGTGATCACCTTGCCGAAGCTCGTCGCGTCAAGAGACGGGGAGATGTGTGGGAGATGTGTGGGAGATGTGTGGGAGATGTGTGGGAGATATGGAGAGGTATGGGGAGGTATGGGGAGGTATGGGGAGGTATGGGGAGGTATGGAGAGGTATGGGGAGGTATGGGGAGGTATGGGGAGGTATGGGGAGTATGGGGAGGTATGGGGAGGTATGGGGAGGTATGGGGAGGTATGGAGAGGTATGGGGAGGTATGGAGAGGTATGGGGAGGTATGGGGAGGTATGGGGAGGTATGGGGAGAGATTACCTTGCCGAAGGTCATCGAGAATGCCCCCGCCACGCCCGCGCCCGCCGCCGTCAGCAGCGAGAGCCGGAGTGAGTTTGGCGCCGGCCTCCACCGCTTCAGGGGCGAGCGGGGCACGAGGATGGCCACGCACAGCACGACGTACACGCCGGCGGGAATGGCGAGCGCGAGGAAGGGGGCGCCCGAGAACTGCTCCTGCACCTCTGGCAGCGGCAGCGTGTTCTCGGGCGACGGCCCTACGCGGAGAGTAGCCAACGTCTTCGGAGCACCGCGCGAGGACGAGGGGTGCGGGAGACCGAAAGTACGGCGGAGCACGGTCGAATGCAGCGGAGTCCGTGTCCTCTCGAGCGCGGGCTGGGGCGCGAGAATACGTGTTTCCCGTCTAGATCACCGGCCAAACACCGCGCAGAGGACAATGCCGGTGACAGCGATGAGCAGCGCCTGGGGAGGGAGGGCTCCGAGAAGGGTCAGGAGAGGCCCCGACCCGGCGTCCCGACAACGGCGAGGAGCGCCAGCCACTCGAGATAGGAGAGGTACTCCCGCACCTGCGGACACAGGCTGGGGCGATCTCGGTGCGGTGCAGAGGTCGTGTGGGTGGGATGGCGTCGGGAGGGTGCCGGGTGCCTATCGGAAGTGTCTCGGAAGTGTCTCGAAGTGTCTCTACCCGCGCCGGGGGAGGAGAGGAAGAAGGAGGGGAGGGGGCAGGGGGGGGGAGAGGACGCAGTGGCAGCGGAGAGGAGGCTGGCATCGGAGCAGCTGCGGGCCTGGGTGATGCGGTAGATGCGATCCGAGACCCATCCGAGGCGCGCGACAAGGGCGGAGAATATAACGGCGGAGCCGTTGACCGGCGCGATGACCGTCATCGGCACAAACATGAGTGCGAATGTCGAAATGCCCAGCTCGCTGCCAGTGTTCATTATGAATCCTATCCACCAGCGCTTGCGCCACGGGTGCTTGCAGCTGGGCCGCAGCGGGAGGCCCTTCTCGACATCAGCCGAGTGCTTCATGATGAGCAGCGCAAACGTGGAGATCAGAGCCGATAGAGCAGCGAGACCCACGCCAAGACTCTGCCGCGTTGCTGCGGGGAGTTGAATCCAGTCGTCCGCCTGACTGTCATCCAGTCGCGGATCGCATCGACCAACCGGCGGTGGCGCCGATGGTGCCAGTGATGGAGATAGTGGCATCAGATGACGGTCGCGGCCTTTCGACTTGCAACTCCAAACACTATGCGACGCTGTTGAGCAAAGCGAGTCGCTTGCTCGACGGCTTGCTCAAGGGCGACTCAAGTCCGCGCGGTTTCGAATTTTTTTTGAGCTTAGCCTTCGATGTAATGAAACAAACGCAAGGCGGACATGGCATATCGCTCTCGGGCCCACAGTGCAGCTGCGGTCGTTCTTAACACAAAAACACAACAAGACGCACAAGCTCAGACAGTCGAGAAAGGGATAGACAGCTGACAGCATAGAGCATCGACAGTCAGAAGTCAGCGCTGGGTCCCAGGGCGAATGCGATGACGGCCTCTAGTGAGTGTGAGCTCTAGCTAGTGTGAGCTCATCGCTACTATATGCAGCGACACCCTTTGTGCACTTTGAGCAAGAGTCGCTCCTCGTCTCTCGCAATGATGTGTTGTTGTGACGGTTGAATTTTTGCCGATTTCTGTAAGCGTCCATTTTTGAATAGGTTTGGAAACCACCGAGGGGTACGATTCCACATAATTCATCCGACGGAAACGTGGCGATGGCACCTGATTCGGGGAGCAGTGGGGGGGGGGGGGTGAGGATTTGGTTCTGAAGGTGGGGGAGTACAGAGGGGGATGGGGGAGGGTCACCGTTTGGGCGAGCCAAGGCTGTGGCGCCGACGGCGGCACCCTTGTACGAGGCTGTGAGGGGAGCGGCGGCGAGAGGGGGGGCGGCGGCGACGCAGGCGAGCCGCACGCGCGCGCGACTGAGGGAGGCGCGGGCGGCGGGAAAAAGGAGAACGGCGGCGGCGGCGAGGCGCAAAACGGGGGCGGCGGAAGTGGGGGCGACGGCGGCGGCGGAGTGAACGGCGGCGCGCGCACGGACGGCGACGAAATCGACGGCGGGGAGGGGCAGGGCTGCATGGCGGCGGCGGACGCGCGCACATTTGTCGTGCTTGCGCATTGGCACTCGACGTCCTCCTCGGCGACCTGCGTGCGCGCGGGAACGGCAGGGGTCATTTCGCGCGCACCGGGCGGCGCCGTGCTCGCAGCAGCCGGGATCGCGGCAGAGTATGGTGGAGAGCTCTACCCGCGCACCTGCCCAGCGATGAGGTCGACGCCGCTCCTGGCAGGCGAGGCAGGGATCTCGGCGACGTTGGAGAGCGGGCGCACGATGTCGTGGGCGACGCCCGTCCGCAGCCACGTCGTGGTGACGACGATGGCGAGGAGCATCACGGTGGAGAGGAGCGTCCCGGCGCTGCTTGGGCTCGCTCGAGTTTCCGGTCTAGGCGCGGCACGGGGTTTTTCATTTATCAGGGCTTGGAGGTGGACGTCCAAGAATTCTTTTTCTTGAGAGAGCTCCGGCAAGCGGCAAGAATTTCTTCAGCGCGATCGAGGTCCTCGAGAGCAGAGACGCAGCCCTCGCCCTGTGTGGCTGTGTGCGAGAGCGGATACGGTGGTCGGTGGTGTCGGGAAACGCCTTTACGCGGGGCCTTAAGATATCCTACTTCAATGTTCAAACACGCCCAGCCTAGCTCGCCTACTCGTTGTCGGGGTTGTCGGGGCTCTTCTCCCAAGCCTTGGAGACGCGCTCCTTTAGCTGCGACAGCTTGAGGCCCGGGTTCTCCTCTTTCAGCCGCGCCAGCTCGCGCTCCTCAAACTCCTTGTACAGCGCCTTCCGGTTGACCCTCTTCGGCCCTCCGCCGCCGCCGCCGCCGCCGCCGACGTCGAGCGCGGCAATGGCGTCGTCGATGCCTGGCGTGGCGGGCGGGCGAGGGGCGGGCCGGGCTGGGATGTGAGGCGGGCAGGGGTGCGGCGAGGTGAGGCTGGGGAGGGGAGCCGGAGCCGTCCCCGGAGCTAGCAGGCAGCGAGGGGGGCGGCCGGCGGCGGGGGGGAGGCGGCTGCAGCTGCGGGGTCTGGCAGCCGTCTTGCGCGGCCGGGAGCGGCGGCGGGCTTTGCCAGTGCAGCGCTCTCGGCCTCTCGCCCGACACAACACAAAATCTCTCTCTCTCTCTCTCTCTCTCTCTCTATCTTTCTGTCTCTTACTGTCTCTGTCTCTATCTCCCCTCCCTTTTTCCCTTCCCTCCTTCCCTCCTCCCCTCCCCCCCCCCCCCTCTCTCTCTCTCACCCGACGCGTCGACGCCCTCTGCCCGGTTGGTGTTTTCGTGCACCGCGCCAATGTACTCGTTCCCTCCCGTCGCCTCAATCTGCTTCTGCTTCTTCTTCTCCGCCTTCTTCTGCTCCTCCATCGCCGCCATCGCCTTGGCCGCGATCTCGGCGCGCGTCATCTTGGACGACCCCCCCGCCTTCTTCTTGCCGTCCTTGCCGCCGCCCTTGGGCTTGGCGAGCTCCGCATTCTCCTCCTCCTCCTGCGCCCGCGCCGCCGCCTTCCGCTCCGCCGCCGCCGCCTGCGACGCGGGATACGGCGCTCGCAAACTGAGCGCTGCGCACGGGACAGCGGGAGCGTGGGGACAGTGCCGGGATAGCGCTCACCTTCTTCTCCTCCTCGGCCGCCTTCTTCTTGTTCTGCCCCTTGGCGCCCTCCGCCCACGCGTCGTCCTCCTTCGCCCTCTGCGACGCCTGGCGCAGCAGATCAGGGCCGGTCAAACAAGGTCGGAGCAAGCGCCGTTGGCCGTGTTGTGGGTGTGCGGTGGCGGACGCGGTACGCCAGGACGGTCGCGCCGAGACGACTGGCTGGGCTGCTCCGGCATCGGACGGGAGGCTGATGCCTCTTCGGCGGCCGCGGCTTTGTCAGCCTTCTTCGACTTGGCGCTCGCGTCGCCGTATCCCATCACAGCCAAGGGCCACACGAAGCCGAGCGAACGGAGGATCACGCCGCGCCGATCACGTGCTGCGTGGTGCTGGAACAGCCGTGCTGAACCTCTGGCTGTAGCCGGGGAGTCGTCGCCGGAAGAATTCACGTCCGTTCGCAAGAAGGTTGCACACGCCTCTCCTTAAAATCCCTGTGTGGTGGCGGCGTGCCGTTCTCCCATCCCTCCTTTGGGTTGTCTGTTTTATTTCTTTCTTTCTTTCTTGCAGCGAGAATCGGCGAGGGACTGCGAAGGGAGATAGAAAGAGGCAGACGACCAAGGGTTAGGGTGGGCGACGGCTAGCACCACACTCCTCTCCTTAAAATCCCTGTGTGGTGGCGGCGTGCCGTCCTCCCATCCCTCCCTTGCGCCTTGGGTTGTCTGTTTTCTTTCTTTCTTTCGAGCGTTCTAGCAATCCTTGGATCTTTGTTCGGTTCTGAGCGCAGCCGCTCGCAAATCGTTAGAAGTTCTAGGACTGCGAGCGCTACTGCTCGCAGTCGGAGGCATGTTGCTAGGAGTGTGAGTGAGCCGTGCTGCTCGCACGCAACCTACCTACTCGAGTAGCTAGACTTTGCTCGGATTGCGAGCGCGATGGTAGTAGTCGCGTAGGCGTCACCAGTCACCTTGGGAGCGGAGCTGCTCTTAGTCCTAGAAGATGTCGGATTGCGAGCGTAGGTGCTAGCAATCGTACAGAGATGCTACAGAAGTCGAAGGATTGTGAGCAGCACAATCGTAGCATCTGCGCGCAGCGAGCCGGCCATTCGCCGAAGCGCCTCGAGGTAGCTCCATCGCTCGACGACGCTCTTCCTGGCAGCAGCTCCGGCGGCGGCTGCTCCCTCGGTCGCAGCAGCGGCCCGGTGATCCTCGGCGGCGGAAGCTCCGACGGCTCGGCCGCTCCCCGCAGGATGCAGCGCGCGCCGCGGTCAACCGTTCCCACGTAGCCGGTGTGGAACAGCTCCTCCATCTTACCCGCGAGGCCGCTCGCTAGTGCGACGAGCGGCACATCGTCCACCGGGGTGTGCTTGCCTCCCCAGCAGGGGGCCGTCGGGGGCTGCGCCTCCAACTGGTTGTAGAGCAGCTCCATCAGCAGCGTCGCATGCTCCACGATGAGCACCTCCGGGTACCGCCCTCGCCACTGCCCCTTTGCGACGATCCGCGCGATCTGCTGCACTCTGGCTCGAGCGGTCTCCACCTCGCGCCAGATCGCCCGCCACCACCAGATCCTTATCGCTCTCTGCTTCGCCCGCCATCGGCTCTCCCCCGCTCGTCGCGCCGCCGCAGCTTGATGCCTAGCGAGATCGGCCTCCGCCCGGGCGCGCGAAGCTTCCGCCACGGGCCCCTCCGCCAGCAGGGCTGGCGTGCCGTCGCGGGCCGCCCCTGCTCCCGGCGCCTTCCGCAGCACCCAGGGGCATCGCCTCGAGTTCAGCTAGGGTCCTCCCTGGCGCAGCTGAGTGTAGGCGACGCAATATCCTCAACGCCGACTTGCCCCAATGTGCCGAGGACGGCTTTCTAGTAGCGTTGGCCGAGACGGCTGCCATCTCCGTCCCATCAGCGACCATCATCAGCAACTACAGCTCCTTCACCTGCTTCGACCTCGATTCAAAGTTAGCACCCATGACTATGTATTCCATCGTCGACACCATCATTGCCCGCCAGTCCGCCTCGGGCCGGATGGCCATCGTTGGCTATCCCGACTACGTCCCAGCGGCGCACGACGCGCTCGCGCGTGCAGCGAGGGAAGGCGTTGCCGTCTTGCAATTCGATAACGATGACAGAATCATATACACCGTGCTACAATTCGCGACTGATGAGAGGCAAATCGCCAGGCAGGTTGGCGTCGAGCTTTGCCGCCGCCTGGGCACCACTGGGGGGAGATGGGGGGCCATTGCGCTACGTCGCCCTTTACACACGGTCCCTCGACCAAGGCGTCCGCATAACCGGCGTCATCGAAGGCTTCGAGACCAGCTGCCCCTCCAGGCAGGCGGTGAAGATCGCGGAAACACGGCTCTTAAATTATTTACCTTCCACGGCCCAGACGTACATGGAGAACGCCCTCTCGAGAACGCCCTCCTTGTCGACGACACCACCTGCGTGATCACTACAAGTGACGACTCCAGGCGTTGCTGCCTCAGCTGCCGGGTCTCACTTTCAAAAGCAAGTGCGGCGAGCTGCGGCGCGCGTGCGCGATCCACAACGGGCTGTCACAACTTACGGGCAAGAGATCCCGGTGTGGGAAGCGTCGCAGCGTGCCTATGTCTTTCCTTCAACCGGCGAACATGTTGCAGGTGACCAGTGGTCAACTCCCACTAAAGGCCAAGCAGGCCGAACCATGCGGCATCACGTAGCATGTGGGCGGCTAAACGAACAAGCTAACCAAGCTCTCCTAAAGCGTACACTGGCACTAGATGCGTCCTGGCATCTGGAGGGTCCGCCTAAGAGGAAGTACGTTCGTGAGAACTGATATATGTACTTTGTGCGTGGAGCGTTCCCCTTTTGCGCAGCAACACCTTAAATTTCATGGCCCTCCAAATTCGGGTCGGGGAGTAGCGGAGTGGGCCCCGAGTTTGAAAAAGGCGACGGACGCTTGCGTCCTAGCCTCCAACAACGCCTCCCCGGCGCAGTGGGACCCCCGGAGGGACGCTCAACCGCTCCACGCCACGCCGCTTGCGGCGGTCCTGAGACCTCTCTACTGTGAGATGGGTAAAAAGGAACAGGTCCCCGCCAGGCGCGTGATACGCGAGTGGTCTGTACTAGGTTGTCTTTTAGCTTAAGGGATCTTAGGGATGGGAGAGGCGAGCGCCTCTCTCTCTGTCTCTCTCTGTCTGTCTCTCTGTCTGTCTCTCTGTCTGTCTCTCTGTCTCTCTCTCTCTCTGACGCTGCCCGGACAACGTACGTAAAGCGGCGGGACCTGTGATATTACACTGTGTGAAGTAAACAAGTATGAAGGCGAACACACAGTCAGAAGTCAGACCAACGACTGTATGTATGTATGTAGGAAGGTGAAGAACAGCCAGGCTCGGACTGGAGGCCACTGGACACCAACGCGGTATGGCGTATGGGTGGACGCTGGACAGATGATGACGACACGCACGAGCGACACACAGACACAAACATGCTCACAAGACACTCTACCACACCACACCCTCAAGAGAGTGTAAACCCACAACGATCGACTGAGGTGGGTCGACTGAGGTGGGTCGACTGAGGTGGGCTTGCGAGATCCTTTCCGCTGTTTCGACGTTGCCTCGTTCCATGTGGCTGACACTAATTCTGCCTGCAGCCGCGCACCGCACTCTCGTCAGAGCTGCGGCGGTCCTCCGACCGCCCTCCGCCAGAGCCGCGCACCGCACCCGCAATCTCGTGGCTCAGGAGGGCTGGATCACGGGCGTCGACCAAGGTGGCCAGGCGTACTACTTTAGCGAGCAGCTCGGAGACTTTCGGTACGACCCACCACCGGTCGTCCAGCAGAATTACGGTGGCGCGGTGCTGTGTCGTTTGCAGGGGATCTCCGGTGTGCACTACTGGTGCAAGTACGCGCTGAAGAACGGCGACGTGCAGGCGCTGAGCCGCTTCAACATGCTCAACCCAAAAGTGACGGTGTCGCGGGTGCAGTGCATCGTTCAGTGCCACGACGGCGTCGCTCAGCTCACCTCGTGCGGGAAGGGCCCGACTCTCTGGCGGACTGGCCCTGCGGATTGGGTCGCCCTGGAGAGCGGCGACCAGGTGCCGCTCCTCGACGGCGACCTCGTGAGCTTGGATTGCAACGACCCCGAGGGCGCGGTCTTCGTGTGCAGAGACGAAGCTGTGATGCATCAGGGAGGGTCGCACTTGCCGTACCCTTGGCAGCAGCTAGTCGACCCGCAGTCTGGCGACGCGTACTACTCCAATCCGAACACGGGCGAGGCGCAGTGGGACCCTCCCACCAGCCAGGGAGGGGGCTATCCGCAGCAGGTAGCTTATCCGCAGCCGGACAGCTACTCGCAGGACGATGGCGGCTATCCCAACCAAGATAAAGGGGAAGGACCCTGAGTTGAACAGGGGATGTGCGCCAAGCCCTCCTGCTCGGCTCCAGCGAGTAGACAAGTGTTGTCATCAACAGAGTAGAAGGATCTGACCTCGGGGCCGATGTGACCAAGCGCTGGTAGCATGGTTTTACCTCACACCCATGGTCTCACAGTGTGCCGGCAGTCGCCGCGCAGTGTCGCTCACACAAGCCGCAGCACAAGTGACTGAGGGCCAGTGAGGGCGAGCCCATCGCTGTCACAGCTGTGGTAGCCGCACAGTAGGCTGTGCCAACTGTGCAGAGCGTGTGAGCAGCAGAGGAGCTGCTCTCCAGGCTTCTGTCGCAAAGAAATGCATGCCACCGAAAGCGCTGTCGAGGTTCGCCGAGCGCGGCGCAAGTTGGAGGAAGCCGTCACCGACGAGCGCGTTGGACTTTTCACTCCGGACAAAGACGGGGACACAGCGGATGGTGCGGGGTGTGTCCCCGTCATAGCGGCGAGGCGCGGGACCGTCTGTGGCGAAGTGGGTCGCGTCCTCCGATTTCCGTCAACTCACGGTCCTTCCCCCGTAACTATCAGCAGTGGAGCTAACGTCCTGCATTGCAATAGAGCCGTAGGTGTACACTTTAGCGAGTAAGGCCAAGATATGCACAGGAGGGACTCTGTATAACATTACACGAAAATTTTGATGCTTACCTTACCGACGACACCCGCCTGCATTTCTCCCTCGCCCCGTTTCAGCCAGACGAGTTCTCCCGCCGCGAGTCGTGCGCGAGCGTGATCAACGCGTTGCCGGGCCCAAAGGCGGCGCAGGCCACCAGGTGCTCGACGGGGCTCCAAGCCACCTGCAGGAGGGGGCCCAGCAGGCCGATGGCCCGGCCTTCGAGCAGCACAGCGCCCGTCTCCTCGACCCACACGTGGAGCCCTCCCTTCGCGTCGCCGCTAAAGACCAGCCGCCCGTCGGGCGAATAGCCGGCCCGCACGTGATACTCGCCGGTGCTGTGCCCGACGTAGCGCGTCGAAAAGTGGTATGTGCGTGTGTCGAGCCCGATGAGCGCGCCGCTGCGCAGCTGCACCAGCAGCCGCCGCTTGGATGGGTGCAGGCTCAGCGAGTCGACCGCCGCGCCGCCCTCCTTCTTGAGTGTCTGGATGCATTTGAGCCCGCCACCACCGCCGGCGCCACGCCAATCCGCCTCCCAAAACTTGATGGCGCCGAGCGCGTCGGCAGAGTAGCAGCCGCCGCCGTCAGCCGACCATACGACCGCGTTGACGCGCGAGCCGTGCCCCACCGCCGACCCGACCAGCACGCCAGTGCGGCCATCCCACAGCCGGATACCCCCGTCTGCCGCTCCGGTGAGCAAGAGCACCGCTCTCGGCCCGCCCCCGCCCCCAGCCTCGCGCCGTCCGCCGCCGCGGCGCGCGGGTCCCGTGGCAGCGGTGGCGTGGGGCTGAAAGCGGCCCGAGTAGACAAAGGTTGGGTGGTGCAGCGTCGCCTCCAGAGCCAGCCCGCCCGCTGACTCCCCATCCTGGCTCGTGAGCAGCCACACCTTCGCCGTGCCGTCTCCCGAGACAGACATCAGCCGGGCGCCAACTGTTGCCGCGCCGTCGGTGGCGGGCGTGCCGGCCGAGCTGTCTTCCTCGGCGGCAGGCCCCCAGTCGAGGCCGTAGATGAGCTTGTGGTGCGCGTGCGCCTGGCTCGGGCGAGAGTCAGGTCAGGGTCAGGTTCGGGCTCAAGAGCAGTAGCAGCGCGTGCGGCTTTGCGCGCCTCGCACAGCAGCGCGCCCGACGCCGCGTGGTAGACAGCGAGCCGCGCGCGGCCCGACGGGTCGGCCAGCGCTGCCGCAAGCAGGGCGCCGTCCGCCGAGAAGGCGACGGCGGAGGCCCCCGCCGCCCCCGCAGTTAGTGCATGCACCTGAGTGTTGGGCACTTTGCACGGCGCATCCGGCTCGCGGCCAAAACGTCGGAGGGCCGCTAGTCCGCTGCCATCGTCGGCATGGCTGACGGCGGAGCCGGTGTAGCGAAGCGCTGCGTGTCGGCGGAGCTCGTCGGCGGTCAGGCGGCCCTGTGGCGTGGGGGAAGGGATGATCGCAGGCGGCTCGAGCGATCGGGTGGGGGTGAGGGCGACTGCCGTCTGAGCAGCAGGATGGCGCGCCTGCTCGAGATGGTGTGCCGCCATCGGGCGGAAGGGATACTGCACGGCGAGCGGCTTTGGCGGCTCCGCCGCGCGCAGCGAGATGTGGAGCGTCGACGAGTACTGTCGGGCTGTCGCCTGGGCGCTGAGTTGTTTCCACACCTCGCAGCCCTCGGCTGGACCGCGCACGCCCTGCTGCCAGCGAAAGAGACGCACGCGCAGCGGCGTGTTGCGGAGCGCATAGGGCGCGGCGCTGGCCGCGCGTCCGCCTCCCTCCACAGTGGGCGCCGGCGCCAGCGGCTTTTGGCGCAGGAAGCCCCACGCAAGGCGCGTCCACCCCGCGGGCGGTCGAAAGTCGACGAGCTCGAAAAAGAGGAGGACGGAGGGGTGGAGCAGCATGGCTGCGAGACGCAAGGAGGCAGCGGTGGGAAAGAGGGAGGCAGCGGATGGTGAATGGTGGGGATGTTGCATGTTGGCAGTGGATGCGAGGGCAAGGAGTCCGCTCGCCGTATGACTCGGCGATGAGCAGCTCCTCCTCCCAGGCGGGCAGCCTCGTGCCGCCCGCGCCCGCGAGTCGGAACGGCTTGGTCATGATGGGCAGCAAGCGCGAGACTGTCTCGCCCTCGTGCGCCGTCACGCCCGGCCGCGACGGCACCGATTTGCGCAGCAGCCGGCCCGAGCGCGAGTCGACCAGCGTCACGCACACCAGCGGGTGAGCGATCGAGGAAGTGTGAGGCAGCTCGTCGGTCCGATGGACGGTTAGCGAGATGTGCCCCTCGCGCAGCCGCGCTGCCAGGCCATCCTCGGCGAGGCCACACGCGGCCAGCTGCGCGCACAGCTCCGAGTCGGCCGGCGGCTCCAGCGGCTGTTCCTCCTCCTCGTCCTCTTCCTCCGCCGCCGCCTCGGGCTCGAAGTCAGCCGCGGGCGGCGCCAGTGCCGGTTCCTCTCCCGTCTTGGGCACCCTCGGTGTGCGCAGCTTTCCGAGTGGGCGCCGAATCGCAACCGGCAATTCCCGCGCTCCAGCGGGGGACGCACCATCGGTAGACGTCTCGGAGAGGGACGTGTCGGTCGGTTGGCCCGACCGGCGGCGGCGACTTGAAAGCAGGGTGCGAGCTCCAGCACCAGCGGCTGTCTGTGGCTCATCGCCTGTCCCGCTGCTGGCCTGAGAAGTGGCGGCTCGTCGCAGAGGCGCAAAGAGACGGCGGGAAGACGAACCCGTCCCTATCGCTGGCGCTGTCACCTCCCCCGCCGCATTCTCCGTCGTCGAAGCAACCGCCTCCGCTCCGGTCGCGGCCTCAGCCTCCTCAGCCTCTTGTGCGGACGCCTCGCTGCGGCGCTGCCTGCGGTTCTCGCGGCGTTTGGAGACGGCTGAGGCTGGCGTCTCAGGACTCGCGCCGTCGCCTCCCGCGGGAGACTCCGTGGTAGGAGAAGCATCGGCGGGGTCGCCGTGAGTTGCTGCAGCTGCTGCATCCACGCCGCCGACAGCAGCGGCCGCTTCATCCTCCACCGCTGTGGCGCGGCCCGCGCGACGGGCCGCGCGGCGAGACGCTGCACTCTGGGCCGGCTCCGCTGTGGTTTCGATGTGTTCAGGTTCCGGTGCGGGTACAGGCAGAGCGGTCTCGAGCTCAGCTCTCCGCTCCGCTCGCGCCCGCCGACGAGCAGAGGTGGTGGTCTCAGCCTCTTCCCTGGCGGCGTTGCCGGCGTCAGGTACGGGTGGCGAGGCCCGGTTCGCCTCCCCGCCGTCCTCAACCTCATCCTGGGCACGTCGTCGACGGACCCGCGCTCGACCCGTCGGCTGGCCAGGAGCTGCCTCCTCGGCGACTTTGGCCGAATCAGCAACAGGCTCTGTCGAAGGCTCTGCTTGGTCTGCGACTCCGGGATGGTCTGTGCGATTCGCGGCTCGCTTCGCCTTTGCGAGTGCGTCCGTCCCGCCATCGCGAACAGCGGAGAGCCCCTTCTTGATGTAGGCGGACATTAGCAGTTCCGCGCGGCCGTTTCGGTTACCTCTTCTAGTCTTGAGGCTTGAGAGAGTTGTTGTAGAGCTCTTTTAACTCTTCTAGGCTTCTTGATAGTGCGAGCACGCGCCAGTCCGCACCTGTGTCGAGCCTGTCTGCTGCTGAGAGAGAGTTGATGTTGTTAAATACTTCTTGTTTGAGCTAGCAAAAAGTCCGCACGTGTCGATCGAGCCTGTCTGCTGTGTGAGAGAGTTGAGTGTTCGTCTCAAATCGTCTGGCACCACCCTCGCCCGCTCCCCATTCGCGCTCTTTTGGAGCCGGAAGATGTTTTCGTCCTAAGGGATTGGGAGAAAGAGATTTCAGATCGAGAGATTTTTGTCAGCCGCGCTGGCCGCTGCAGCTCCGCGGCGGCGGAGATGAGATTCTTTGCGACCGAGCTCAGGCTCACCCGCGCGCGGGCGTCGGAGGACGCCACCGAGCACCGGGTCGCCTAGCTCCCTTGGCCTTGCGTCACTCACACTACGTGCCTCCCCGTGCTTGTATAGCCTTTTGTTTGTGGTTTGTGCCCCGTTTTGTGCCGCGTCCCGGGCCCCCGAGATCATTTAAAAAAGGGGCGGGGGGCGCGGCGCGGGGGCGGCTAGGGGGGCGGCGGGTGGGCGGGGTGTCTGTGTGACGGGATTCCTACGGCTTTACCTTTAGTGACCCAGTCGCCTAGGCAGTGCAGTCCGGAGCCGTATTCGGCTGGGCGACAAGGTGGCGTGCCGAGTGGTGCCGACGCTGCCGTTCCGCAATCTGCTCGCTGCCAGAAAAGGCGTGCGGCTGGCGGCGCCGCCGCCGCCACACGCCGACCATCCCGCGCCGCTGGAGACGGGTGCGACGAGCGCTTGGATGTCAAAGTTGTTGTCACGGTGCGGGTCGCCTGCGAACTCGAGACGGCTGAGGTGATGTGCGGCGCGGGGCGCTCTAACGCGAGAGCACCGCGGAGACGGCGGAGACGGCGTGGGGGCAGTGCGCCGCAGGAGGACGTAAAATCTCGTGCAAGCTCGTGCAATCTCGCGTGCCAGGTGGCGACGGCGAGATGTCTCCGGCACCATCCAGCTTTCATCTAGGACGGCGCGCCGGGCGGCCGCATCGCGCGGTCGAGGCTTGTCGAGCAGCCAGCGGAGGTGGCGGCGGAGGTGGCGGAGGCGGCGGAAGTGGCGGAAGAGGAGGCGGAGGAGGCAGAGGAGGAGGAGGCGGAGGAGGAGGCGGAGGAGGAGGCGGAGGAGGAGGCGGAGGCGACGGCGGAGGCGACGGCGGGCGAGCGGACGGGCGCCGCCGCCGCGCGCTGCAGGAGGACGAGCTGCGACCAGGTCGAGTCGATCGTGCCTGCGAACGCGTCTGCGCGGAAGCACACCTGGTGGCGAGGCGAGGCGAGGCGAGGCGAAGTGAGGTGGTGGGGTGAGTGCAGTGGGTGGGGCGAAGTGTTCAGACAGCGGCAGCAGTCCTGCCACCTCTTGCTCGAGGATCGAGGAGGTGATCTCCCCAGATCTCCCCAGATCTCCCCAGATCTCCCACCTCTTGCTCGATCAGCGAGGCGGCGTAGTTCTCCGCCGCCCAGCCGTGCCCGCCGCCGAGCGCCGCCGCAATCTCCCGCGGGGAGGGCGCGCGCAACCGCGGCACGAGGCGGCGAAGCTCGTCTCCCTCGCGCGAGAAGGGGCCTAATCTCGGGCGATCTCGGGCGATCTCGGGCGATCTCGGGCAGACTCGGCTGGTCTCCCTCGCGTGAGAAGGGGCCTCCGACGGCGGCACGGGCGAGGTAGACGTCTGCGTCGCCGAGCAGCGCCCGGAGCTGCGAGATTGCGGGGGACGTGTCGCGGGCATGTCCGGTCTAGAGAGAGAGAGAGAGAGAGAGAGAGAGAGAGA